GTATGTGAAAAGATTATGTCTATAATTTATAATATGCCTTCACATGCATTATGCTTTCAAATTACTTTATGAGTTATTACACCATAGCTAAGTTAACCAAACAGAATTCCAAGACACACAAACATCTTAAGTATTTCCAAACTAGGTGACAGAAATTTCTATTCACCCAGACAACAAGGGAGAGCTCTGGTGGCATACTGCCTAAGGCATCTGACTGCTAACCAGAAGGCTGGCAGTTCAAACCCACCAGCCACTCCTTAGAAAGAAGATTGGGCAATCTACTTCTGTAGAGACACTGTCTCGGAAACCTATGGAGGGGTCACTATGAGTTGGGAACAACTTGACAGCAGTGAGCTTGGTTTTGGTTTGTAGACAATAAGGGTTAAGAAGTAGTTTTCACAAAAGAAATTAATGTTACATTTGGAAAATGGCACTGAATTAATAATATTTTACTAACATGGTCAAATTCAGGAACTTTCTGTAATTCTTGACAAAACAAAAGGAAATGTTTAGAAGGACAGCTCAGTGATGAGCCCATCTGCTATCAAAGATCTGTAGCACAAATAGAAATTAGCATATTTATGTCAGCAAATTTTCCGTATCTAACTCCAATCAGATCCAATAGGCAATCTGGGTCATTACTAAGAATTGGAGGTTACACTAGTTAAAAAAGCATTATAATAGCTCCCAGAAGCATACACAGAGAAACATAATTTCTGAAGGATATTAATTAAAGAAATCTAATACTTCATTACAGATGCTGGTCAATTCAAACATCCTGCAGTATTCTCCATCTCTATTACTTTCCTAATTAATTTTCTTTATAATATTCCAACCACCAGCCCTGATGATACCGGCTTCTCTCATGATATTTCCTTTTGTAAATATCCCTTAAGTCTATTTTCCAAACGTAAGAGTATGAATAAAGGATTAAAATTATTTTAAGATACTGCTTTTTTCAGTTGACATGTAGAAAGCTGGATTATAAACTAATGACTTAGCTGTAGCACAAGTAGAAGAAAAAAAAACAATAAAATGATTTCTAGCAAGAAATACTTTAATCTTCGCGTGGTGTTACTGATGACAGATTTAATAATTGGGAATTTCATCAGACTCTTTTCTTCTAAAACACTGTAGTAATTTACACTGTAACTTACTGTTACCTAGTCTTGCACATTCACCTGCTTTTCACTGACATTCCTGCAGTCTTTACAAACAATCTGGTTGACAATGGTTCCATGATACAGACGGTTAATGAGGTCATGGCCTGAGGTCCCAACTAAAGAACTCTCCAAAGCACTGAAGAGAATTCGATTCAGTTCCTGCACGTCATGTTGCCTCATTTCCTGTAAAATAGGTTAACCTTTTTTTTTTTTTTTTTAATTTTTATTGTGATTTGGATGAAAGTTTACAGAGGACATTCATTTTCTATACAGCATCTCACACATGTTCTGTTTCATGACATTGACTGCAATTCCCCACAGCATAACAGCTCTCTTCCCACTTCCTCCCTGTAGTTACCTCTTCTCCGTGTTCTTCCCTCCCATGCACTCCCGGCCCCCAGCCCCAGCTGTTTCCCTGTGCAAACACTGCCCTTGTGTTCTCCCATGATTGATCGCTCCAACGAGTGTCTACCTGATGTAAATGTTCACCCCATATGCCTGTCTATTGTTTGGCTGGAAGCCACATGAGTGAGTTCAGTGCCAGAGTTGAAGGATAACTAGGGACCATAATCTCAGAGGTCTCACCAGGCTCTATCAGATCAGCAAATTTGGTCATTTTTTAAAAATTTTTATTGTGATTTGGGTAAAAGTTTACAGAGAAAACAGATTAACTTTTAAATGCAATTTTGTGCTTCAGATTTTAAACACAAAAACCCACAAGATTTATCAAGCAATCCACAGTAAGCCTTGATCAGATAGAAGAACATTCAGCCCACCTGAGCGCAGGCTAGTACTTAAGATCACCACTGACTCCTACTGACCCTACACACTGAACACATGACTGGACAGCGTGCACGTCACTTCCACGGCTGATAGCAAGCCAGCGCATTTGTTCTGTGGCAGTGCTGCAGCAAGGGGAGGAGGAAGGAACCCAGCAAGCACAGATCTGCCACTAGAGGTGGCAGTGCATGAATGGCGAAACTGCACGCAGATCAGAGCAACTGGCGAACAGTGAATGAGCCGTAATTTCAAGGAACTAGAATGTGGTGAGGTACAGACCAACCAAAACAAGACTAGCACAGTGCTACCGAGAACAATTCCCGATGGAACGTGCTTTACTCTGTCACAAGTCACGTAGCTGTGTGTAAGGAGACTGAGATGCTCTTTAAGAACAATCTCCAAATGGAAGCCCAGGGACACAGCAACATTCAGAAACAGAGGAGAGGACAAAGGACAGGAAAGAAGTACAGGGAGGAAGAGCAGCTGGAGAGGAGACCCAGGAGAGGGTGAGGCTGTGCGCTGTAAGGAGAGGGTGGCAAATGCTACTAAGAGCTATGAGGTGGAGAACAGAGAACACCTCCCGGACTTGGCAACATGGACACTAGCAGCAACTCAACAAGAAAAGTAGAAAAGAGGAAAAGAAACAAATGGGAAGGGTAGGAACAGTGGCAGTGAGGGCAGACAACTGATAAAATAAGGTGGGAATAGAAGCAAATAAAGTTGATAAAGACTGGAGCAAAACGTGGGGCTCTGATCTTTTCCCCTTTAACATGCGAGATACCACATGATGTGTTTGTCCAATATTACTGGCCCTGACTGCAGAGAAAATGTGCAGAAGTTTTCAAGTTGTTTCTCAATAACCCTAAGTTTGGCAAAACCACCTGCAAAATCCACTTTTAATTGTTTTAGCTCTATTACTAAAGGGTTTCGTGCAAGACTTGCTTAAAATTTTTTAAAAATTAAATAAAAAAGCTCTTCATAGCTTTAGTTATGTATGAAACTGGCACCTTAACAGAAATTTATTATCAAAAACAAAGGGAAATCCACCCATTGATGAATGGCTTTAAAAAAAACACAGTGTATCTAGACAACAGAATATTATTTGGCCATAAACTGGAATGAAGCACTGATACATGCCACAACACAAATGAATCTTGAAAACATGCTACATGAAAGAAGGCAGTCACAAAACATCACACACTGTATAAGTCTACTTATACGAAATGTCCAAAACTGGCTAACTAGTGTTTGCTAAGACCTGGTGAGAGGAGGGAAGTGGGGAGGACTGCTGGTGGGAACAGGGTGGGGAAAAGTGTTCTAAAATCAGTGATGTTGGTGGTTGTGCAACTTTGTGGCTATACGGAACACCAATGAATCACAGGCTTTGAAGGAGTGAATCTTAGTTATAAAGGAAAAAGGAATTCACAAGCACCAGTCCTCTACCAGAAATTTAACATATACTCTTTAGCTGAAAGATCTGAAGAAAAAAAAATTCAAGCCTCCAATTACAGTACTGAAGGATTCTGGGGGCAAAATATTGAATGATGCAAGGAGCATCATACCACCAAAAAGAACTGGTCAATATTCAACAATTTCAAGAGGTAGCAAAAGATCAAGAGTTGATGATATTGAAGAAGTCGAAGCTGCACTGAAGGAAATGGTGAAACACAAGGCTTCAGGAACTGATGGAATACTCACTGAGATGTTTCAACAAACGGACTCACCACTTGAGGCGCTCACTTGTTTATGTCAAGAAATTCGTAAGATAGATACTTGGTCAACCAATGGGAAGACATCCATATTTGTGCCCATTCCAAAGATAGGTGATCCATAGGATGAAGAAATTATCAAACAATATTATTAGTATCACACAAGTAAAATTTCTCTGAAAATAATTCAAAAATGGTTGTAGCAATACATCAATACAGAAGTGCCAAAAATTCAACCCAGATTCAAAAAAAGGATATGGAATGAGGGTTATCATTGCTAATGTCAGATGGATCTTGGTTGAAAGCAGAGAATACCAGAAAGATGTTTACCTGTGCATTACTGACTACGCAAAGCCATTTGATTGTGTGGATCACAACAAATTATGGATACCATTGCAAAGAATGGGAATTCCAGAATACTTAATTGTGTTCACGAGGAACCTGCACATAGACCAAGAGGCTGTTGGTCGAACAGAACACGGTTATACTGCATGGTTTAAAAACCAGGAAGGGTGTGTGTCGGGTTTGTATCTTTTCACCATACTTACCCAATTTGTACACTGAGCAAATAATCTGAGAAGTTGGATTATATGAAGAAAAACCTGGCATCAGGATTGGAGACAGACTCATTAACAACCTGCAATTTATGCAGATCAAAGATTATAGTCTTCAGTACAGATTATGCCTCAACAAAAAGAAAACAAAAATCCTCACAACTGGACCAATAAGCAACAATATGATAAATGGAGAAAAGACTGAAGTTTCAAGGATTTCATTTTACTTGGATCCCACATAATGCCCATGGAAGCAAAAGAAACCAAACAACATAGTACACTGGGTAAATCTGCTGCAAAAGACCTCTTTAAAGTCCTATAGAGCAAAGAAGTCATTTTGAAGACTAAGACGTGCTTGACCCAAGCCATGGTATTTTCCACAGCTTTGTAGGCATGCAAAAGCTGGATAATAAATAGACCAAAGAACTGGTACATCTGAATTGTGATGTTGGTGAACAATATTGAAAATACTGGCAGAAGAATGAATAAATCTATCTTGGAAGAATTGCAGCCAGAATGCTCCTTAGAAGTAAGAACAGCCAGACTTCATCTCTCTTACTTCAGTCATGTTATCAGAAGGGACCAGTCCCTGAAGAAGGACATCATCCTTGGTAAAGTATAGAGTCAGTGAAAAACGGGCAAGACCCTCAGTAAGATGGATTGACAAAGTGGCTACAACCATGGGCTCAAACACAGCAATGACTGTGAGGATGGTGCAGGATCGAGCAGGGCTTCATTCTATTAACACAGAATTGTTATGAGTAGGCACCAACTTGATGGCACGTAATAACTTTAGGGAAAACACTATCACACCCGTTTTCCTCAAATTCCGTGCATTTCTTCTTAACCACACAGCACTCCAATGTCAAGGAGTACTCCTGGTTAGAAGACCACAGTTCAGTTTATTGTTGAAGTCAACAAAGCATCACTGCTCTCAATCCTTCCTTAAATTCTGCCTGTCTTTATAGGCTATATCTATTCCATAAAAAGCAGTACAACTGGCTTTGATTGACTCCATATGCTCATAAATACTGACAACAAGCACCCCTTTACTTGTTGCTAACAAATGCTTATTATTTGCACCCATTATATACCTTTTATGAACTCACACAGAAAAATGAGAACAAGTCGCCATACAGTAGGATATAGGAAGAAAGAGTCTAGAGAAAAGACAGGAAGGACAAAGACGTGGCAAGGATGGTTCCTCTGTTTTGTTTAATGTAAACATTCAATCAGAACACCCAAAGGCAGACACAAAAGCACATCACAAAGGCCGACAGAATTAAAAAGAAACCAACTTCTTGTAATCTGGTTTCTCCATTATTGCTGGTCAAAGACTAAATGGCCGATGAGCAGTCTGCTGTGTAAGTGGTAACCTCCGTGGAATATGTGCCATACCTCGGTTAGACTGTAAAGATTCTCAGGGTAGAACTGTAAAAATCAACTCTTGTACTTCTGTATCCACAACCTTCTCCCACCCCAAAGTCACAGCCATTCACAAAGTCCTGCCTACAGCAAGCATCTCAGAATATATCTGTGGCTTATAAATTTTTAGTAAGAGAAGGAGGCATTTATACAAAATCTTGAGACTCTAAGACAAATTGAAGGAGATAATTACATAAGAAGCCAGCTTTAAGCTCCTTTACTGCCTGCACTTTCCCTGAGGGAAGCCCCCTTCGCACCTCGTTGCTTGTCCATCCGAAGCTGTCGGTGAGGTCTGCCGTGGAGGCGGCTTCCTGGTCTAAGAGCAGAAGCTGAGCAAACAGCCTCTGTAGCTGTAAAGGGATGATCCGCACCTGCAAGAGAAACAGCATTACTGCAGGACGTCTTTGCAGTGTCGACTGCGACTTTTACTAAGAACTATGTACTAGTTTCATATCTGCTACTATCAGCTCGTTCAGTTCACTCAAAAGAACATTTATCAATGTCCTATCACAGAGGATGAACTAATTAAGATTCAGGTTTTTTTTGACAATTCTAATTTACTACAAAGGTTGTAGCTCTGCCCTAACTTGGCATAGTTCAGATCAACGTTACAACCCAAACAGACCTTAATAAACCAGCCAGTTGATCACGGACAATAACATCAATCTCCAATAGCTCATTCTTTCTCAAAGGACCTCAGACACAGACTCCTACCCCCATGTAGGAGTCTTCCAGGCAAAAATATCTCACTTTACCGCTCAGACAGCTGGGTTGGCTGTGCCCCGCCTTGCATGCCTTCTGCCTGCTCCAAGCCCACTCCTCTCATTTGGTGTGTGGAGGGCCAAGGGCAGAACGCAGGATGAAGTAGGGGGCCAGAGTGAGCAGTGCCACTCAGAGTCTGGGCCGTGGCCTGGATTAGAAGTATCCAAAGTGAAATGCTTAACACTGCCATAGAGAGCATTTTTATTATGTTCTAGAGAAGTCTTGATCTCGATCCCCCACAGACTGGGGATTAAAACAAACACACACACATACACACACAATCTTTGCCATATGGGTGATCTTGGGCTGGATCTATTAAGTACAGACTGTATCCTGAAAGTGAGAAAGAATTTCTGAATGATTTTTAAACAAAAAAAACCATAATTTGATGCAGGACTTGCATTTTATATAAAATTTCACCACAGTAGCATACAAGATAATAATTTAGTTACTCAATTTATTTCCAGAATACCAATACTAGAAAAACAGTGGTCTCTATTTTTTTTTGTTGTTGTTGCATAAAAATGCATGAGTTTTTTTAGTAGGCTAGTGTGGCTAAGTTGTAAATACCTTATCACCGGAAAAAAGAACATACTGAAGAGTGAACCCTATTTATAAAGCAGTAGCAGCATTGTATTTGGGGGAAAAACAACTTTTTTAGAAGAATTTCATTGACACTAACCCTAACCCTGGAACTTGGTTATAGGCCAAGTCACTTTCTGAAAATACAGACAAAATTTGGTAATTAATAAAGTGTTTATTTTCTATGAATAAGGAACCTAATCCCTTCCTTAAAAAAAAGCATCTCCTCAACCTTCCCTTCCTCCCCTCGACAAATCATAAATTCAATACCTTTGCATCGGGTTTATCTTTATCCTCTAAAGAACCAAGCTCTTCTGGACCAAGAGAAAATAACGCTTCTGAACAAAAAAGGAGAATCAGAGATGTAAATGACATTATTTCAGAAAACTGCTTTAGAAAGTTAAGACCACTATTAAGTGAAATCAGCCACAGATTCTGCGATATGACTGCGGCAGTATTTACACCCTTAACCTACGTGTTTTGCTTTCTTGTAACTTTGTTTTTATGTTGAAAATATTTCTCCCAGTTTGTTATTTGACTTTCCATCTTACAATGATTTTTATAAAAGAAAAAAAAATGTAATTTATGTAATCAGAGCCATTAGTCTTTTCCCTGTGGCATGAAACATTAAGTTTTCAACCCAAAAATTATATAAATATTCACCTGTATTATCTTCTCCAACATTTACAGCCTTAATAAACTTTAAGATAATTGATTTAGGGAGAATTTATTTAAAAAAATATTTTATTCTATTTTAGGTGAAAGTTACACAGCAAATTGGGTTCCCATTTAACAATTTTCACACAACCTGTTCCGTGCCATTGGTTACAATTTTCACAATGTGTCCGCATTCTCATGATTTCCATTCTGCTTGCTCTGTTTTCAACGACCTAACTTCCTTCCCCTCCTTGTCTTCTCGTCTCTGCTTTTAGTAAATGTCTGTTTGGTCTCATAGAGCTGACTGTTTAAAGGGAGCACATTACACATGGATGAGATATTGTTCATTTTGTAAGTTTTACAACTTTTTTCCCTTTTTCTGTGATTTGGGTGAAAGTTTACAGAGCAAATTCATTTTCCATACAGCAGTTCACGCACATTTTGTTTCATGACACTGAATGCAATCCCCACAACATACTACCTCTTCTCACTTTCTCCCTCTGGTTACCCTTTCTGTGTCCATCTTTCCTGTGTATTCCTGCCCTCTGAGCTATCTCCCTATGCCCTCTGGTCTCCCATGGTTAACTGTTCTAAGGAGAATATTTTTAACCACTGACAAGTCGCATAATAACAAGGCTTCAGGGATTTGATGGTTTTCCATTGCTCGTGGCAGTGGGTTCCAATAGCCATATGAGGAAAAACACAGGGTAGCCCATGGGCATTTATACACATACGAGGCTGCCAACCATTCTTTTTGTGGGAAGGACCACCTTTTTGTCTGAGATGGTACCCTTCCTTCTTTTGGTGTAAAAACATCTTTTCTATGTTGAGGATGACTTCTAGAAAACTACAAAGTTGACAGTCCCAGAATTTGTTTTTAAGCCAAGGTCAGGTACCCTACCCGTGTGGCATGTCTAAATCTTTCAGAAAATCTGGTCCAAACCTAGATAGAAACTGCTACTGGGAAACTCTGGTATACTCCAGGAGAGAAGGGATGGAATAGGTATTGTCTCCCCATTGGAAACCACTGCTCTTGGGAGTTACTGTTATTTTTATGTCATATTCCTCTGATTTCTTGACTGGTACTTCCATGGGCATTGACTGTAGACCCAAGCAAAATGAAACTGACATCTTCAATATTTCCTCCATTTATCATGAAGTTGCTTACTGTGAGGATTTTTATGTTGAATGAATAATCTATACTGAAGTCTATAGTCTTTCATCTTCATCAGTAAGTACTTCAAAGTCCTGTTCACCTTCGGCAAGCAAGGTTGTGCATCTGCATATTGAAAGTTGTTAATAAATCTTCCTCCAATCCTGATGCCATGTTCTTCTTCACACAGTCCAGCTTTTCGGATTATCTGTTCAGCTTACAGACTGAATACGTATGGTGAAAGGACACAACCTCAACGCAAACCTTTCCAGATTTTAAACCATGCAGTAGCCCTTGTTCTGTTCAAGTGACTGCATCTTGGTCTATGTACAGGTTCTTCATGAGCATAATTAAGCATTCTAGAAACTTCATTCTTTACAATGTTGTATATAATTTGTCATGATCCACATAGCCGGATGCCTCTGCATCATCAGTAATACACTGATAAACATCCTTCTGGCATTCTCTGCTTGACTAAAAGTCAAGACCCATCTGACATTAGCAATGTTCTTGTTCCATAATCTCTTCTGAATCTAGCTTGAATTTCTGGCAGTTTCCTGTTGATGTTCTGTTGCAACCATTTTTGAATGATCTTCAGCAAAATTTTGCTTGTGTGTGATATAAATGGTATTGTTTGAGAATCTCCACAACCTGTTGGGTCATCTTTCTTTGGAAAGGGCACAAATATGGATCTCTTCTAGTCAATTGGCCAGATAGCTGTCTTCCAAATTTCTTGACACAGACACATGGGTGCTTCCAGGCATTGCATATGTTTGCTGAAACATCTCAATTGGTATTCCGTCAATTCTTGGAGCCTTGATTTTCACCAATGCCTTCAGTGCAGCTTAGACTTCTTCCTTCAGTACAGTTGGTTCTGGATCATATGCTACCTCCTGAAATGGTTGAACATTGACCGATTCTTTTTGGTACAGTGACTATGTATTCCTTCTCTCTTCTTTTGATGTTTTCTGGTCAAAACTGCTGTGAAAAAGCTCTTTTAAGTATTAAAAAACAATGATGTCACTTTCAGGGCTAAGGTGTACCTGACCCAAGCCATGGTATTTTCAATTGCCTCATATGCATGTGAAAGCTGGATGATGTATAAAGAAGACAGAAGAATCGATGCATGTGAATTTTGGTCTTAGTGAAGAATACTGAACACACCAGGGCCTATGTGAAGAACCAACCAACCTGTCCTGGAAGTAGCACAAACAGAATGCTCCTTGGACATGAAAATGGTGAGTTCCATCTCACCTACTTTGGTAATGTTATCAGGAGGGTCCAGTCTCTGGAGAAGGACATTATGCTTGTTAAAGCAGAGGGTCAACAAAAATGAGGAAAATCCTCAACGAGATGGATTGACACAGCAGCTGTTAACAATGGGCTCAAATACAACGATTGTGAGGATGGCACAGAAGTGGGCAGTGCTTTGTTCTGTTGTATACAGGGCTGCTATGAGTGAGGACCAACTCGATGGCACCTAACAACAACATATTCCTTTGAGGTCTGGAACCAGGAAAAAGTGAACCTAGATACTAAAGCACAAAACCAAAAAGCACAAGAACATTTACAGACATCTCCCACCATTCTCAGCTGCACTGTACTGCAAGTATAAGGGAACCCAATCTAGCCCCACTGAACACTCCAAAATTGTTTTCTTCCAGTTGTCAGCCAGTCTGTACCCTTCCAAAGGAAATCTCCATTCAGCACTGGGATTCCTGCTGCACCTCAGAAAGGCACAATCCACACTAAGATGCCAAACCACATGCTTGCAGGAAAGCAAGGTCTGGGACATTCCCTCCGATCCTTGCTTAGTGATAGTCTTCATGGCCTGGCCTCCTCTCCTCCCCAGCTGTTAAAACCCAAAGGTAACTCTCTCTCCCTTCCTCAGTCTCTTTTAAGACTACTTTGCTACTTCATAAGGAGTCCTGGTAGTGTAGTGTGTAAGGCATTTGGCTGCCAACCAGATAGTTGGCAGTTCAAACCCAGGTGCTACTCCATGTGCAATCTACGTCTATAAAGATTTACAGCCCTGGAAACCCAATGGGGTCACTATGAGTCAGAATTGACTTGATGGCAGTGAGTTTGGTTTTTGGTTTTGTCTCTACTTCATATTACCTTTTAACTTCAACTACATTAAAGCCTGGAAAAGTTTTCTCCCTCTCAGGAATCTGCTTTGTAATTCTGCATTTCTAATGGTGGAATTATTGACTGCATCAGGGAGAGACTTTCATGGAAGGGATGGAAGCAAGTCAAGAGCACTTTTCTTGAATTCCACATGCAGTTCTATGCATTAGACTGCCCTGGGAAGTGGAAATCAGAAAATATTTACTAAATCCTTAGAAGCAGAAGGGCTTTCTAAGCTTAGAAGCAATGAAAGACATCACAAAGATTTGATAAATTCGCTGGTAGTGATAATGTGCCAAATCAGACATAGGCCAGATTGTCTCTCCTCTGAATACAGAGACCCTGTGGAGAGCTAAGCCACGAATCATGTAGTCAGAGGCCCCAATCATGCCCATCTGACAGCAAAGTAATGCTCATACTAAAGTGAGGGCAGTTCCCTATGGAGTAAGTCAGTTTGCAGATGTGGGAACGGGTCAAACATGTTAGGGAAGCAGGGACAGGAAATCAAGGGTCCAATGAGGCCAGGCTGGCTTTCCATAATTGGTTACTGGGAGAGTTCTCTATATTCTTACAGTAAACCCTTTCGACAGATGTGATCTGAGTGGTTTTCTGTTCTTGAATACAATCCCTTATGTTAAACCCTTGGGGCTTTGGAATTCAGTATTTCCAGATCTCAGAATGATAATATGAAGAAAGAGCTACATCTATTAACCCCACTCCAGGGTCTGAGATAGACAGTATTCATTCACCAATCAAATCAATATTCCTGTAACATATGCATGATGTTCATCCTGATGTGCACAGCCTCACATCAGGTCTGGTTCTGAGGCCAAACAAGTTCAGGTCAGACCACATCAGAGTGTCAGAGCTTTCTGGGTCTCAGAATTGCAGATGAGTAACTGTGGGCCTCTATAAACGAGGAACATCCTTTTCCAACAACTGTTTGGCACTCTGCCTTAAGTGTCTGTTACGCTGGAGAACTTTTAAAACTCAACACTTTTCAAATTTTAAAAAATTTAAACACAAATAGTTTAAGAACTATGAAGGCTGGCACTCATGGCAGAGTTGTCTTCAGGCTGAGTTTTAAATGGTGAATTCAAAAAGAAATACATTACCTTATTTTTTGCTTTTGTTACTGAACATCAATGTGATCACACAGAATATATTTGAAGATAATTTAAGCTTATTTCTTTGCAAAAGAATTACCAAAGGTTTGTTTTACATTTGCCAACAATAAACACATACTGTGGGATACATCTTTGAGATACTCTAATTGTGATTTAGGGAGCTCTAAAATTTAGGGAGCTCTAATGGTGTGCCTAGGAGTTCTGGTAGCATAGTGCCTAAGGCACTTGACTGCTAACCAGAAGGCTGGAGGTTCAAACCCACGAGCCACTCCTGGGAAGGAAGGTTGTGCAATCTACTTCCGTAGTGATACCGCCTTGGAAACCCAAGGAAGGGTCGCTATGAGTTGGGGCCAATCCGACAGCACATAACAAGAACAACAATGGTGTGCCTAAGGCATATGACTGCTAACCAGAAGGCTGGCGGTTCAAACCAGCCACTCCTCAGAAAGAAGACTAGGAAATCTACTCCCGTAGTGACACTGCCTTGGAAACGCAAGGAGGGGTTGCTATGATTTTGCAAGTTAATTACCATAGGGACAACTGAACATAGTTATAAGCAAAGGGATGTAACAGAGCATACCTCTGAATTCAGGTGTGAAATGAAGAGTTTGAAGAAGAGAATTGAGGTAACAGGTTCCACCCTGATTCCTGATTCCACTTAAATTGGTGAATTCTCTAGGGGCAGGTGGCTCCAAAGCTTTAGTCTTTAATTTCTTCCCTTTTTCATACTGATTATTTGACACACTGGGATAATCCTCTTCAAATAGGTCCCCAAACATTGTGAAACTAAATGCTCTCCTTAAAAAGATAAGACATGTTAGAGAAATGTTTTATTTTTAAAACAAAAATTTCCCAAATCTACTTTACGTTAAGTTTTTTCTTAGGAAGTATGTGCAGTAGTTTGGGCTCTGGGGGCGGCCAGCAAGGCCTGGATTATTTTAGCAACGCCAAGTTCCTACCTACTTGTGTGGTCTCAAGCAAGTTAGCAAAACTGCTTCCTTTTAACATAAAATGGGATACCACTATTGGCAGGGTCATTTTAGCACTTAAGGGCATGAAGGAAGCCACTTAGTGCACAGGGTTTGGCTCACCATAAACCAGAGTTCAAAGGATACCATCATATCACTAATGAGAACAGAAAACCCATCACTGCACTAACGCACTGACGGATGTCAACGCCAATCCTAGATTCTGAGTTGACAGATGCCTTGGGACCTATAGTCACTAAAATCCCTGCCTCTCACAGCCTCAGGACCTGCTGCCAGATTATGACGACTAAATGAATTTAGTAAATCAAATTAACCTTCTTCCCAGCAGCTGAGTATGTGGCCTCAAGGTTGGAGAGTCGGTAGGAGGGTCAATGGGGAGATCCCGTCGGTAACACGACCAGGCTAAGGCCCTCCAACCCGGACCCAGGGACCCCAATATTAGCCCCGGGGACCTAGGTGACCTGCTCAGGATCTCACAGAGGCTGTGGCACAAGGTCATCCGCAGCTAAGCGCCCAGCCCAGCTCCTAAGTGGCAGGAAGTGCTTTGACGACAGCGTTTCTGATGGACAAGAATGCAGTTATTTTCCTTGTCAATCCGTTCCTCGGGGGAGTATAGAAAAATGGAATTTGGGGCTCCGGCCTCGAACTCGCGGTCGGGATTAGTGTCTCCCCCATCCCAGGGCCTGGGCCTGGGCCCGCCAGCCCTTAGGGTCACCACGGGCCGAAGCCGCCGCGGTCAAGCGCCGCGTCCGCGGCCGGGCCCAAGCAGCTCCTCGCCTCGCTCTCCTCACGCTGTACCGCCAACACTGTCCCTACGCCTCCCACGTCCCTCCCGGGGTCCGCCGCCGCCAGCCCCACTTACAACCTAGGGCC